GTCTTTTTGGTAGCCGTAGCATTAGCATTTAACAACTTAGTTGTAGCTTTAAGAAAATGAGGGAGAGCTAGAGTTGAAGGGATTTGGTGGCGCAGGTTAAGGGCAGAGAATGAAGTTGCACAGGAGCAGGCTGCGGCCGGCCTGTTCCTAGTGCTGCCCTTGCATTCTGCTGAACCCCTCCCAGCACCATCCACTCTACCGCTCCTGTAACAGAAGCGACTTGGTCTTTTCTACCCCGAGATAGGAAGTGATCCAGTGTTTAGGTGTAAAGTCGTGTATAGATAAGGGAGTGGATGAGGAGGCTCAAGCTCTGAGGCTCGCCACCTGTCCTCATTCGATCAGCGTTCTTTCTGTTTTGACCACTAGAGGGAGAGGCCGTGAAGAAATAAAATATCGTCCGGCCACAGATAGAAGTGCTCCAGCCAAAATTATTGCGGTTTTGCGAGAGCTGTATGGTTGTTCCGACTCGTACATTGCTTTACAGGAGGCATTTTTCTCACGGCGACAGCAAGAGGGGGAGACCCTTCAAGAGTTCTCTTCTTGCGTTAATGAGTTTAATGTCTGCGGTAAAACAAAGGCTCCAAGTGACATGCCAAATGCAGACGTTTTGTCGCGATAAATTTATTGAGAAATGTCATTGATGGTTCTCTTCGCCGAGACTAAAACAACTTACACGAGGCACCTACAGTCCTCTGTTGGATGTAGGGCGGAGGCGATTAGGTGGGAACGAGAGGGATTGCCAGGGGGTTGTGCGGGCCCGAGCCACTCAGTTTCCTTTGATGATGGGCCTGCAGTGCGGTGTTCAACTGCTTCGCCGGTGGCCTATTCCACCCCAGACTTCAGAGCTGCAAGATGTGAAACAGATGTTGAAGCTCCAACAGAACCAGCTTAACGTTCACAGATAATCTTGCCCAGCTGCAGGTCAATCAGCAGCGTAACCATTCTCTTTACCGTGGTCCGGTATATTCTGCCGGTGGTGCCAAGCAGCCTGGCCACTTTGCAGGAATGCAGAGGGGAAAACGTCCCCCTCCACCTTCAGTGTCTGCTTCTTCGCTGGCAGCCTCTCGCAAGGGCCCGGCTCAGCATCCGGGAAACTAATGCGCCCGTCGAACTGCAGAGCCAAAGTTCAGGGGAGCTGCCACTGCTCACCAAGTTGTTAAGGGATGGGGAAGCCGACTTAATGCTAATTCAGTGCTTGTCCACATTTGGATGTGGTTATGGGTGTCAGGTTCCTTGTTTAGTGGACACTGGGTCCCAATGGTGTCCACTATCAGAGAAAAGCTTTTTCCGGCAACACTTTGAGACTTGGGACAGGAGAAACTTCAGTCTTTGCCAATTTGCTTCAGCTTCAGCGCCAATGGACTGCCATCCGTACCTTGGCTACTTGGGCTTGAATCAGAGCTCTTGTAAGACTTGCTAAGGGTGTGGGCTACTGGTCGTCAGGGATCCTCAGCTGATTCATCTCCTCCTTCCCCGGGTGTCTTAGGGATGAACATTTACGGAAGATGTTATAGCACCTTGTTTGGGCAAACATGGCTCTGCCCTGTTCAATCTGCCCACAGTCACAGAGCACCAAAGTCTGTGGTGCAGGCACTGCAGAGATGCCATCTCCTGGCTCCCCCTTCTGATTTCATTGGCAAGGTCAAGACTCGAGGCAAAGAAAGCTTGCCGTATCTTCGTGGCAGCCATGCAGCTCGTTTCCAGCCACCTGTTCTACCAAGCATTCTGGGACCACTGTGCTCTTTTGAACCCTCAGATCGGGGCCTTCCTGCTGGTCTCCTGACTCCCAGCGCTGGTTCAAGTTGAGGGAGGTACGGTGTACATACCTGTTGTCAACGTGGGTACTTCTGATGTGTTGCTGTACCCCCGTACAGAGGTTGGGTGTTTTGCGTGAGTTTGTGTGGTGAGCTTACCTTCTGGGGTTAAAGAAGGTTCCATCTTACCTGGCACTGTGCCACCCAGACTGTGGTTTTCACGCTGCAGGATCAATAGAATGGCCAGGCCTGATCTTTGCCGCTTTTGTCGCAATGAAGAGGTCCAGAAGGAAGCCCGTCTGCTTCTTTGGAAATACGCCTTCTGTCTTTTCTTCTCACCGACGGCATGGCATCTGGGTTGCACCAACCTGATAGGCATTGAAATCCCGCTTCTTGACGACACTCCCGTACCGGCAGCGCTACAGGCGCATTCCTCCAATCGGAATATGATGTGGTTAAGAGCATATCAACCCAACTGCTTGAAGCGGCAGGTCATGCCGAGAGAAGCCTGCAGCGTTTGC